AAAAATAACCGAAATGCTTTTTTAAGGAATTACGTAGGTTTATCAACAACTATTGATCCTATTTTCAAGTTTACTTACAATTTGTAAATTATACCCTTGTTACAAGTTCAGTCTCATAATCGTTTTAATGGCCTACTTATCTACTTTTGCGATGTTGTCACACGTAAATCACGATCTTTTTAAGAAGCGCAAATGTCATGCCGAGTATGCAACATGCATACACCAACCCAAGACCACAGGTGTTTCAAGTTGAAAAAGTACTTAAACTTAATTAGAAACTTCAAAACATGACATTTCAAAAAATGACATTGCCACAAAATTTAAAATATGAAATCGATGCATTTTATTATTCGTGTAATCTTTCATTCGAATAAAAATAGTGTTCGATACGAGGGCAAAAATTTGTTTTTCGCCCTTGTATCGAAAACTACTATTATGCAAGAAGTGCCTATGTACAATTAAAGATGTATCTTTCAAATTTCCGGTTTAGAAATTGCTCATGTCATAACACATGCACTTCTTTCATGAACACAAAATAGCTTCTTACATACATAGCCACAACAAATTTGCATTATAATTGTTATTAATTTAATCAGTCTACTGCAAGTTATCAAAGATATTAGATTATCCAGAGTGCGGGTTTGAAGTTTTGCTTTTTGACGTCACGTCAACGTCAATGTCAACTAAAAATGAGTGGTTGCCTCAATAAAATAAAACAAAGAATACTTCCGAGGTATGTAATTTTTACATTATTGTATTATGTATCCTCATACGTGAATTAATAAATTTTATAGAAAGTGCCAAGCACCTATTGGAAAAAAGGGAAGGGAAGGAGCAAAAGTTCAGAGGACAAAAAAACGAAAAGAGAAAAATAAATTATAAGACATGGTCTAGAAATGTGGGTAAAGAAGTAGACCCCACCACTTCACGTCCCACTTTTAACAGTGCTAACGTCACCTGTTTATGATTTGACACCTGACAGAACATTAGATACTGGCAACGTTGTATTGCAACAGGGCTACAATTAGCCGCTTCTGTGTTGTCTCTGTTTTTGTCAGTGACGCGATAGTCGTTCTTTATCTATTACTCGTCCACCGAGCGAGACGGTAATTCGATGTCATTTGTAGTGTTTTTAGAAAAAAAAATCAATTAATTGTTTGATTTCTTGAATGAATTGGAGCACTGAACCTTAGAGACTTTTTTGTTATTATAATTTTTTTAAGTAATTATTTAAGTTTTAGTTGGGATTATGTTCGCGTACATTCGTTCCGTTCGTTTGTGTTCGTTTTCCATTTTTTGCTTTGAATGTTGGCGTTTTTGAGACAATTTCAGCTGTAAAAGAGCGGTTTTTTCACCCGAATGTTGTGATTTTTGATCCAAAAAACTTTTTTGTTTCTCGAACTTTGCCCATCGACATGGTACTCATTTTCAGCTGAAATTGACCCAGAAACCCGAAT